TGAAAGCAGAGAAAATATGCAAGTGGAACAAGGGGATCAAAAGCAGACGAATTGGAGCAGTACAGGACAACAGCTAAAGATGCAAAGAGATCACTGAGAAAAGACAAGGAGGAATTCATGTACAGGCTTGCGGAGAGGGCAGAGGAGGCAGCAGTAGGAGGGAACATGCGAATCCTTTACCTGACTACAAAGACTCTTTCTGGAAAATATGGGAAACCAGAAGTAACAGTAAAAGACCAAGGGGGAAAAACCATTTTCGGAAAGGAAGCTCAGTCAAGACGATGGGTAGAGCATTTCAACAGTCTTCTGAACAGACCACCACCAAGTAAACCCGCCAAACATCCTGCTAGCAAGAAATGAGCTACCAATCTGCTGTGATGCCCCATCGAAACAAGAGATTCTGGATGCCATTAAGAAGCTGAACAACGGTAAAGCGGCCGGTCCTGATCAGATTCCACCTGAGGCCCTAAAAACAAATGCCAATGTGACGGCAGACCTCCTTCTCCCATTGTTTACCAGGATCTGGAATGAGAACAAGTTCCCAAAGGATTGGAAAGAAGGACACCTTGACGTGAAATTACCTAAGAAGGGGGATCTCAGCAACTGCAGCAACTACCGAGGAATCACTCTTCTCTCAATACCAGGAAAGGTCTTCAACAGAATAACTCTGGAGAGAATCAAGTCTGCAACGAATCCAAGACTTCGGGAGGAACAGGCTGGTTTTCGGAAAAATCGGTCAACTACAGACCAGATTGCTACACTAAAGATCATAGTGGAACAGTCCCTGGAGTGAAACTCCCAGTTGATCGTTAACTTTCTTGACTATGCGAAGGCCTTTGACGGCATAGACCGAGAACACTGTGGAAGATACTAAGACATCACGGAATCCCACAGAAGTTGGTTAATCTCATCGGACGCGTGTACGAAGGGACAAGTTGCAGGGTTATACATGATGGCCAACTCACTGACAGCTTTGACGTCAAGACCGGTGTGAGACAGGGATGTTTACTATCATCTTTCCTCTTTATCTTGGCAATCGACTGGCTGATGAAGGAAACCACTAGAGGACACAGAAACGGTATACAGTGGACCCCATGGACACAGTTGGACGATCGGGACTTTGCAGATGACTTGACGCTTCTGTCACACACTCAGGAACAGATGCAAGCAAAGACAACAATTTTAAACAGCCCATCAGAGTCTGTTGGATTGAGGATCCACCCTGGAAAGTCGAGAGTCCTAAGAATAGATACATTACGAAAGGAGCAGGTCACAGTACAAGGAAATGCACTAGAAGACGTCAAATCCTTCTGCTATCTTGGGAGTATAATTGACAGAGAGGGAAGGACAGGCGCTAAAATAAAGTCCCGCATTGGAAAGGCACAGACTGCATTTATTTGTTTGAACTGGATTTGGAGTACCAGGGACATCTCATTACGAACAAAGCTTAGAATTTTTTTCAACTCAAATGTGAAGTCAGTCTTGTTGTATGGATGTGAGACGTGGAATGCATCCCATGCGTGCCTAAAGAGGATCCAGGTTTTATTAAACAAGTGTCAGAGGAAGCTACTGATGATCAAAAGGACAGACAAGATCACCAACGAGGAAGTATTAAGAAGAACGAGACAGAGCCCAGTCAGAGATGAGGTGGGAAAAAGACGTTGGCGATGGATTGGACACACTTTCAGAAAGCCAAGCAGCAGCATAACAAGAAAAGTGTTAGATTGGAACCCACAGGTTAAAAGATCAAGGGGAAGACCACGTGGAACCTGGAGAAGAGTCACGGAAATGGATGTATAGAAAAGTGGGAAGACGTTGAGTGACATCAAGCGACGAGTCTCACTTGTTTACGTAAACAGCTGACTGTGTGGGCGTGCCCTGCTAGCTGCTATTGTCTGTTGACCTTTCAGTTTTACACATGAATTAACTTTAAAAATTAGGTTTTTAAATTGTGTTTTAGAGCTTTTAAAAGATTAATTAACCTTCCTCTAGATCTCTTAGAGCGGACTCCTTACCAAGAGGCCACCGAGGCGGTCAATGTGCATGTGTGTGTATGTGTGTTGGTGTGTTTGTGTGTGTGTGTGTGTGTGCTTGTGTGTTTATGGTGCTATTGCAAACGCATAATCAGGTAGCGTAAACACGGCACGTAAGCCGACTCGCGCCTTCCGAGCACGTGGTTTCGGTGAAATGGAGGTAATTCAGATCTCTGCTTCTTTGCTCTTTTGCTATAAAACACCAGTGGCGGTGGGTAGTGAAGGGCTCACGGGCTTGAGCCCCTACCCCCTCCCCACCCACAACCCCCAACTCTATCCCAAAGTAAATGAACGTTTCTCCATAATGAAATAAGCAGTTGAAACCGTTATGGCCGCACGCAATGAACACAGAGTGATCAACTTGGCGCCTTGCTCGCTTATCCAAGCATTGTTGTCACCGCTTACAACTATAGTAACCCAGCAGCCAATCAAATGTCTTTAGGGCTCAGCAAAGATGAGCCCTTTTCCCACAGACCGTCTTTAATGAAACTCTTCTTGTAAAAAGGTAGAAGACTGGGAAAAAATAACACTGTACCGAGGGCTCACGCTCTCCTAGCCCTGACTATGGGGTGAAAGTTTACGACACACTTTCTCCCACTGACACAGATACCTATGCGCTCATTGGTTCTTTGTTGACTTTCTCGACTATGCGGCCTAATCCAGCTCATAGAAGTATTATGTTTGAAGTGCTGTGTGTGCAGGTTTGTGTTTGTGCCACGGAGATTTAACAGTTATAAATCAGGTCGAACTACTTGTAAGGCAACTTTTTCATTACACGAAAACGAATTAATTAGAGGAAATTTGGAGGTGAATTGGCTTCGTCCCTACCATCAACAAGAATTTAACTGAGAAGAAAGAGATGGAAAACAAATGCAATTCTTCTCGTTTGAATGCTTCTCAAACTTCCGTGGCTCACCGTGACTATAGAAAAATCCTTGCTGTTTAATTCTTATTGCTTGCTATTTGGCGGTAAAGAACTGGAAGCAACCTAAGCCCCACCCAAATTTGGGTCCACCCACCGCCACTGTAAAACACCATATGCCGAACACTTTGAAAAAGTACAGATTTTCTTCATTATAATACTGTAAGTTGTTGTATACCCGGGTATTTGGAGCTGGAGAATCGCCGTGGAAAAGGTAGCCCCTCGCGATCGGAGTACGAGGCCCCCTCGCCCCAGTTTAAAATTGACACCCATGCATTCGAATGCTTTTGGTCTTTGTGATTTAGTAAGAAAACCTTGGAAAAAAGGGGTCAAAGTTTTCAAAGATCATTTTTAACGCGAAATGTGTAAAAATACCTGCTAAAAAAGTATCAATAGGAAGAACAGTTCTTTTTCTATTAGAATAAAGTCATCGACTTGGAATTATTTTGCATCAATCCTTCTGCGGAACTGTGGAGCACTCAGTATTACTACATGTACAGTATTGAGCCGGAACGTTCGCCGAGAAGGCTGGTGCGACGCCGGCCGAGACAACGCTCGGTATTTTTATTGAAATAACGACAGATCATCGTGTTTGAGGCAATAAAATACTGACTTGTAATTATCTCACAGTCTTGAAAAATATTAGGCTTCATTTCTATGTTATAGTGAATGTACTCTTTTAATGTAGAGATGTTTGGTGCACTTGGTACTCTTTTAGTATCTGTCAAACATGGGGTTGCAGCCAGTAAACGACTTCAGCAATGTTTTATTATTATTTATTATGCTAGATTGAAACAGCTGCCATTCTCTTAAACATTGAAAGAAAGGCTAAATTATGGTGCCAAAATTCTCAGGAGACACTAGGCCTTTCATATAAAACAGATGAATTTGACATACAGCTACTTTGAAAATTTAGTGTCTAGTACCTAGTATATGTATAATGCTAATATTTTGTTGCATTTGGTGTGAAGTCCATTCTCGTGAAAAGAATTGTTTGGTCCATAATTTTTTTCTCTGTGAATGAAGTTTTTTGCTTTTGTATGTTACCTTGTAGTGGCATAGCCAAGATAACTGCTATTTAAATTTCAAGTCTCTATCTCAATATTATTTTAAGACCCCCATTGCTATGGGAACATTTTGCTCAACTTCGGAGGCCATTTAATTCTCCTTTTCGTGTTTCCTCACCTCCCACTATTAAAAGTTCTGTATCATCGTCAAATACGGTCATATTTACTTCATTCTTGATTTAAATTGTAGGGAAAAGGTGCTAGTTTAAAAAAAAAATGTTAACTCAGTTTTGAAATTTCCCTCATTTGAATGATATTGACCGGCAGGGACACAAATAGTCAACACCTATTGCTCCTATAATGTACACATGTAGCCTATATCACTAATACTATTTAATTTGTCTTTTAACATGTAGATCTAGCGGTTTTCTAAAAGGAATGTTGTTGCTGGTTGTTGTTGTTGTTGTTGTTGTTGTTTTTTGTCTTTCCTTTTTTCCCTTATCTTTCTGATGGGTATTTTTTTTTTGGGGGGGGGGGGTGGTATTTAGCCCTATAATTGAAGAACAAGACTGCCTACATCGGCAAACATTGAGTTCTAGGAAGGCCTATCTAATAATTTTAGAGAAGACTTTCCCCATCTAGCCAAGGCCTATAATTGATTTCAATATAGGCCTAGGCCTACATGTAATGTAATACAGTGTGGCAACTTCGACAGGTTCGTTGATAGGAATGACAGGCCGATGCATGTTCCAGTTCCAGTAGCAAGCGACTATAAAGGCCTGGTAAACGGATTACAAGAAATTGCCCATTGTTAAAAATGTTGTCCAAAGGAATGATTATATCTTAATATTTTTTTTCTTGCAGAGTCTAAGTATTCGTCATATTCCTTCCTTGAAGAATTCAAAAGTTATTTTCTTCATACACAGAAGGTGGCAGCCCTTGTCTTAGAGTATGCCCAGGCCTTGGCCTATAGGCCTAGGCTAGGCTAATATTATTAATTTTTAAGTTCACGGAACGACTTGCTTAGCTTTAGCCAGCATTCAATCAACTTCCGCTTCCGTTGCCGGTTTGTTTGTTACGATTTGACTTCGTTGTTTTCGATTTCAGCTGTTGGCCATTGGCGACTTTCATACCTGTTTGAATCAAGATGAGTAAGGCACATCCTCCTGAACTGAAGAAGTAAGTGCTTAAAATTACATATTTTTGTTTTGTTATTCTTTTTCACTGGACGCATTGTAGGCAGAAAAGTGAGTTTACAGAGCAGACGATTTGGTTATCGATATTAGGTTTGCGCGGTATTACACAAAAATAGAAGCGTCATTAAGATCTAAGGGTGAAGAATTATGAAAGCCAACCTCAACCCCCAGTCGTGTACAAACGCTATACAGTCGAACCTGTGTAAGACGGAATCGCAAGGGAGCCCCAAAAAAAATTCCGTCTTAGACGGGAATTTAGAGGGAGATGGAGGTTGAGAGGGGGGGGGGGGCACAAAGGCAAAGGCCCAACCGGTGGGATCAAGGATCGCTTGTCCGATTGGCAAGCAGTGGTCAAAACTTCACACCTCTCAATTGCTATCCTGTCTGATAATAATGACATGCGTCAATCGTAATCTTACTTTTATCCCCTTACCACCAGTGCTTTCCTTTCAAAGGACCACTGTTTGACCTCTCCTCGGACTTTGATTCCACCCTTAACCCCATCCACCAAGTAATGCCACCCCTCACTGTCAACGATTCAAGGAACTCTTCTCGGCTGGCTGCACGATCAGGGCAGCAGGCATTGGTCAATCTAATTTCGGAAGGACTTCCGTAACGAGCGACCACCCCATTAAACACAATAAAGAAGAGGCCTAGACCTAACCCTACCACTAACCCTAACCCGAACCCTAACCCTACCCTTTCTTACCCAAGCCTTCAATTCTGCTCTGTCTCATAGTGGTCGCTCGTTACGGAAGTCTTCCCCTAATTTCACACCTCTGGCTTCTGGCTACTCCGGAAAGTTTTCGTAGTGGCTCGCTACTTGAGCACTCCCACGGGTAGTTGTCAGATTTCACACTCACACTGTCACTACACTGACCGTCTGCATTGCATTGCTCAATCAGGGCTCACACGGGGAAACATGATTTAACATCTAGATCTACCCCCAAATTACACCCTTACTCTTCTTCCTCGCCCAGCGCCATGGCCATAGCGTTAAGTTTAGAGCTGGTGGAACCAAACTTGCGAGATTTGTTTCAAATCTAGATCTAGATCTAGATCTATCTAGGTTGAGTGGGCAAAGCATTTTCCGTCTTACTTCATTGCGCCATCTGGCATTTAGGGCAGCAACAAAGGATCTCCAGCTCTTGTTTTGGGCCATCTTGGTCAGCGTTCCCCACGAATGATTCCAGGACTTCATTTCAGACTCTACTGTGCATCTCCAGGTTGCTTTTGGTCTGCCCCTTTTGCGACGTCCTTCAGGTGTCCAGTGGAGGGCAGTCTTCACAATAGAGTCTGGTTCTCTTCTCAGAACATGTCCAATCCATCTCCATCTTCTCCTTTTTATTATGATAGTCATGTCCTCTTGCTTACATTTACGTAACAGATCTGCGTTTGAGGTCTTGTCGGGCTAGAAGATTCTGAGGATTTGGCGTAAGCTGGTTGTATGAAAGGAAGATAGCTTGGCACAGTCATGATCAGTCATCCTCCAGCATTCAGCTCCATGAGTGTGGATGGTACACAGCTGTTATACAGCTTTAACTTGGTTTGTATACTAAATTGTCCTGACTTCCAGATGTTGATCATGCTTCTGTGTACAGATCTTGCCTTGCCGAGTCTGTTCATGATGTCTTCCTTTGTGCTGCCGTCAGTTTTGATTATGCTGCCTAGGTAGGTAAATGTGTCTGTTATAAGGGAGGTCTGTGTTGTTCACCCTAATCAGCGTTGGGGAGCCTACATTCAGTGTCATCACTTCTGGCTTATTCTTTACCCAATCTGGCGTCCGTATTTGTGGAGTCGGTTTGTTTTTTCCTGCGCATGTACTTGTTGGTATGGGAGAGTAGTGCAAGGTCGTCAGCAAAGTCAAGATCCTCGAGAGTGGAGAAGAGGGTCCACCTTATGCCTCTTGATGTATCCTCTGTTGTTTTCCTCATGACCCAGTCAATGGCCAGGTTGAACAGAATTGCTGACATGTTGCATCCTTGTCTAATGCCTGTCTTTACACTTTACCTCATTTTCCGTCTTAGACAGGTGAAACTCTCGGAAGAGAGCGGATTTTTCTTTCCATTTCTGCGTTGGACAGGTTTCCGTTTTATACCGGTAATTAAAGAGGAATATATCAAGGGGGGAGCGGGAAGATTCCGTTAAGACGGGTTTCCGGTAAGGCAGGTTCGACTGTAGTTTGTAAAGCAATATGATTATAATAATAAGATCACTTCAAATCACCAAAATGCCAGTGTGGAGAGGCGGACCAAACTGTTGAACACATCCTTCAGCACTGCAAGACACACAGGGCCCTGAGACAGGAAACGTGGCCAACCCCACTGACGCTACAAGAGAAGCTATACGGGCCGCCAGATGAACTGAGCAGGACGGCCCAATTTATGACAGATACCAGACTTCAAGTGTGATGCGATCAAGATGAAGATCACTTCATTATCTCTGGTCATTGTCAGACTCCACCATTACTACCCTTGTATATCTAGGCCTGCACTTTTATTTCCATCCTAGGCCCCTACCGCAACTTAGACTAAGCCCTCGTCCTGCGGGGACCAGGTTTAAATGTCACCCGATGAGCCAATTTCGGCACCTCGCCTGCGTTCTGGTCCCGCGTCAGTCTGCCCTTTGGCTCAGCGCACATTGTGTTTGTTCGGGTGGTCGCTCGTTACTTGGAAGTCTTTCCTTTTATGACGCTCACAAAAGCTCTTATGTTGGGGGGGGGGGGTGCAAAATGTTCAGACAATCTGGTTGAGGCTCACATGCAGGTCTAAAGTGTCGTAAAACACTTACTAAAACAAAAGCAGAAAATATAGCAAACTAATGATATATTTTGAAATTGGTAAATTAACCTATCGAAGTGACCATTTCTCTGAACGGTTTCCGATCTCAAGATTTTTTGGTTGTTTGTGAGATTTAGGTGTCATCCTTTCGTTCTGCCATTCTGCGAGGACTGGGAAGAAGCATTTTTTGCATCTAATTCAATTTCTAGAGCTAGAGATTTTTAGATGTCTGAATATTCAGATTATACTTCAGTTGTGGTTGGGGCAACGTTCCCGGACTATACATCATTGGAAAATACCTTCAAAAGGTACCTTGAGAAAACAAGATTGCTTGACCTAGGCAGTAACCTATTTTGCATTTATTTTTTTAGTTTAGTCACCCAGCAAAATGAAATCCTTCTTCAACTACTTCAAGTGAAAAAAAAATAGAGTGCAAGTTTATTTTCCCGAACGTTCGTAGAAATAGGGCCGGCCTTAACCTTTTTTGGTGTCAAAAACACTTTTGCATCAGGTATTCCCAGTCCGTAAACTATAGAGGGAACTTGATTTTCAACATCGTGAGAATCTATATTTCTCTCTATAGAATCTAGTATATTAATAGTGTCCTCATTAAGTTCTAGATTTTATTCTATGTTTAGTAGTTTATTTAGTTTATTAATAATAGATCTTATTAATTATATAATTCGTAACTTTGTGCCATATGATGATCACTCTAAAGCTGATGTTTCCTTTGCCGCATATCTTGAAACCAGAGTATTTTATTGTCTGTAATCTTGGTTGTAAGCAATAGTATGCTTGTGACTGTAAGGCCAGACATACAAGAAATCATAGCCAGCTAAGACACCACGCTCCTTTGAGATTTTGGGAGATGTGACCTTCTAGATATGGCTACATTCTTAATCATGTTTAAATTTTGATGAGGTCAAAGGAAACTATGCTGTGCTCTTTAGTAATCTGATGGCAATTTTTATTTCTTTGTCCAAATGGTCAAATTCTTGCCTGCCCTTTCTTTCTTTTTTAAAGCTGTATTGTATTTAATTTTTCATCTCTTTTTGTTATTTCAGATACATGGAAAAAGTCCTGACATGTAAGTACATCTCAGCCTGTGTTCATTTAGAAAAATAAACAATTTTTTTCACCAGCCCATCTCTTCTCTTTTTGCCTTCTCCTGCTGATATCCTTCATTTATTAGTTAGGCCCTTTGCTGTTGCATGCAGAAGATATTATGTCCAAGAAGTTCGGGAAATTATCATTCTATAATCAGATTTTTTAGATTCTTTTTTTTTCTCCTGGGATGCAGCATCCCACTTTTAGATAGACCAAACTGAAAGGTTAAATATAGAAAAACTAGCTTCCTTCACACCATCAAATGCAGTTTTATTTCTTGTTTGCATCAATCCAGATTTACCCTGTAATGATTATTAAAGATGGCTTTTTTTTTTTCTCGGTTAAAAAAAATGTGTTCACTTTCCAGGTTTGCAACCTTGAGAACTTATATATGAAAACCTTTTTGGACTCGTCACAACACAAAAACTAACACATAAAACATATTCTGGAATGTAACTCTGAAACACTTTGCCGAGCTCAAATAGAGCATTCTCCAGATTTAGAATGTCAGTATTTATTGGTTCATAGTGTGCTTTTCTTTCAAATTGACCCGTTTTTGCGAATTAACTGGAGGATTGTTGACATGGTCATATCTCTTGAGTCCATCTTCTAGTCTCCGCCAGTCCTGTTGCTTGCAGTGGCTTGTGTGGAGCTGGAGGCAAAATTAAACCAGTATTCACATTTTGTCGAGGACTTGAGATATAATATATATATATATGTTAAATAGGGCACCACATTCAGCTGTTTTTTTATTATAATATTTGCCCTGGTCTGAGACTTGTGTACAATTTTTTCTGACTTTCAAGTTTTTGAATCGCTTTTTTAAAAGCAGTTTGATGTAATCCACAACAAACAAAAATCAACTGAAAGCTTATTTCTTTGACTCTTTTTGTTTCAAATTGACAATGAGGTGTTCGTGTGCGATGGAGGCGTTGTTTTTGTACTTAATAAATTACACAAAAGTGGCACGAACATACTCTTCTCTTCTCATCCATAAATGGTACACACAAACTTACAACTTTAATGCAGACCTACATAAAACTATATATATTTCATTCTGATGAAGAAAAATGTATCTTTAAAATTATTATTTTGATTATTGGACATAACAGTCCATGCAATTTTAGAAGTATATAATGCTTGTGGAAGAAACACCACTAGTTCGACATAAACCTACCTTGATATAATATGAGAGTGGAAGCTAGCATGCTTTGCAAACATTTTGGCTTGTATTAATTGTCACTGGCCTATTGTAGTTGAAAACCTACAGCCTCTAGTTTCAAGTCAAGAAAATAGACTGGACTTTTCTTTTAAGTTACTTTTGGTTTTGTATTTCTTGTTGTCAACATTTCAAATTTATCCCTCAAATTAGGTTTCTTTAAAATTTGGGCATCTTTAGTAAGTTTTTAAAAGATTTGCATTGACATCTCAATTTTCTGTTCACAGTGAAGCTTAACGGAAACCGTAAAGTGACAGGCACACTGAGAGGATTTGATCCTTTCATGAATCTTGTTGTGGATGACTCTGTGGAAGAAACAAAGTCTGGGGAAAGACGAAACATTGGCATGGTGGTAAGTTCTTTTAATTTTTGTTATAGGAAGATGAAAAAATTAAAATGTTGCTGAATTTGTGTCCATCTACCTCTAGATTCTGCATTGTGACAAAGATTTATCAGAGATATACAGTTTAACACAGATATCTCAAATTTGTAGGTACCGCCCTTGGTAGTGTGAGGGATTTCTTACAAAGATAAAGAAGAAAAAAAACGGGACAGTAGGCTCAGTTCAACGGATGCGTGATTTCAAGTCTTCTGTGTTCGACCAATCCGTGTTATACTGTTTATGCAAAATATCTCTCCCACTTTGCTTCAGCAGACTTCTATGCTCATGGCATAGATAGATGATTACAGTCATACTTCATACCTGCATTAGACAAACACCTGGCTGTTTTCCATTTACCCCCCGCCCCATCATTCACTAGTAGTAGTACTGCCAAAAACGATAAACTGTCCAACTTGGCTCCTGCCAAAACATGTCCAAGATGGTTACATTCGTCCCTCATCCAATGTTTTTGCATGTCATAATCCATTCACCTGTCGTTACTGTTACTCCATGTCCTGTGAATGAACCGAACACTGACCACCATGTTGCTACGAGTAGGTTTGTGGTCCCTCCTATTTTTCCAAGTTGACCAGTTGTTAGCATTGCAGCAATCCCTAAGCCATGACGGCCATGGTTGAAACCTCAGAAGGAAATGGTTTGTTGTCTTCCTTTTGATCAGTCCTGTCTAAGGTGACCACCTGACTAAGGGGGCTAATTTTCTCCTGGACAATGGGTGACCATCTTAGACAATTTTAACTGAATCTGAATACCTGTCTTTATGGGACAAGTATAGCATGTAGTTTATTTCCTATGTTTTTGACTTATGACTTTTTCTGTTCATGAACTCAGAAAACAAGTAAAGTTTTGTCAAGATTCGAGGTCACACCCACTGCTGCCCCTGCACCAGCTGAAATTGACCGTGGCAACATTAATTAAAGCATTTGTCCTGAGCCCTGCTATACTGCCAGCTTCATGCTTGTGCTAAGGCTTCTAGTATGATTGAGTTTGGCTGTAAAATGAAAAAAGTTATTTAGAAAAAATAATTATTTAACACAGTAGCCTAATTAACTTTTTCTTTATGTTTACAGGTGATCAGGGGGAACAGTGTTGTACTTTTGGAGTCTCAAGAGCGTGTATGAGTCGAGCGAGAACAAGAGTGTTGGAAATGGATCTGCAGACTGCACTACGTACCCGCAACCCTTTCAACGAAGATTGTTGCTGTGTCAGTCACTCTGTAGCCATTGAGAGGGATAAATACGGAGTGAAAGTGTGGAAGGAAAGGTTGAGTTTGAAGAGTGAATTGTCAAAGTATGAAAGAGTTTTGTAACCCTTTACAGTGGATACTACTGTTGTAAATTGAATGAAACATAAAGTGAGGTATATTTGGGACCATATTGGTTATAATGTATAGAAGAGAACTGAATGCTTATGATTATTTGAAATGTTGTTTATGAATGATGTGTATTTTTAGTGTTGTATCATGTCATTGTAATTATTCCATCATTTGAAGTAATAAAAAAAAAAATGATTAGTAGATTGACTTTTATGTTCTTTGCCTGTGTGGAAGTGGAATAGTGACAAGAATTGTGTTTTTGTTTGTAGTCTGAGTGGGGACAGGGTACAATCAGGTCCCCACAGGATCGGGAAAAAGTCGGGAATTTTGAGATAGGTCGGGAAAAAGTCGGGAATTTTGTGATGGGTCGGTAAGTCGGGAAAGTATAGGGCCTGTGTAATGTGTAGCTATCTAGACTGTTTGGTTGATGAATCCTAAAGAGGAAACGTAATTGAACCGCCGTGACGGAAATGTATGTGTGACACCGAGGCTCGATCGGGAAGAATCAAGATCTGCTTTCGTTACCGCCCAGAAATTTTCCGGTAATACATGTAGTCTGATAGATAACGCAACATTTGTAACATGCAGGTTATGAATTATGAACGCTGTGTCGCCTTGAAAATAAATCAATATTAAAAATTGCCCTCTGCTGTCGCTTG